AAAAATTGTTAGGTTTGCGTTATTCTCTTGTCAATGATTGTTGGACATTACCCAGTTCTTGTTCTCTGCATTCGACTCAGATTTTTCCTCATAGATTATTGATATTACTCTGCAATGCCAATGGCTTTACTTGTGTTCATAATACTCATCACCTTTGTATATTACGTAAGCTGGTATTGGTATTTCTCCTATATTGGGTGGCACTTTGTGAGTTTGTTCTAAAACAACATGGCAACTTTTCAATCTAAATAATGGCGTTGCTTTTTCATTTTTGCTTTTTTAAAGTGACTTTTCTCGTCATAGATAGTTTTATGTTTGTTAGGCTGCCATGTGAAACTATTAGGATATACTTAAGCGGGAAAAGAGTGACATAATACTAAAAATGCCATGTGTAGGTTGTTGCAGACGAGCTTCTGATGCATGAATCAGTGAGGCAGTACCTTTTATTTGTTGACTCTCTCTTGTGGGAATGAGTTTGTATTCACACGTCACTTTGGCCATGGTAATGTTGGAAGTGTGTGGAGGTTCTTTCTGCTCACTTTATACTCTCACTTTCTGATGACCAAGCATTTAAGAATTTCTCGATAGATTATTTTGGCTTCCTAACAATAACTTCAGAGTTCCAGAAATGACTTTGACTACGGCCTTGTCATTGTTTCTTAACCCTGTCCTGTTGTCCGCGCCCAAAATGTTTCAGGCATATCTGATTTTATTGGTTCCGAAGTCATTGGAATTAGCATGTCTTCTGAGCATTTGAATTCAAGCAGTGAACTAAGAGCATACCTATCTGCATTTGAAAGGTCAGTTGCCTTGTACACCAGACCCATGTCCAATATGAAACATGTAAGGCTACCCCATAGCAGCAATGATTCTTTTTTGAAATCACATTTTCGTGCAAGTTACAGTCAGATGGATTTTGATTCTTGTCTTTTGCCAGCTACGAAAGAGAAAATTCACAATCTCATCGCTAAATTTGATAATTCATGGAATTCATATTTAAGCAGTACATTACTAAAAGAAGGTCTGAGCTAGTTGCTGCCTCTGTTGCATACACAAAAGAGAGCCTTCATGTTGTTGGGAATCCACTAGAGATGACATTCTATCAATCATAAGCTGTATAACACTCCGGGGTTCTTCTGATGATTTGATGACTGTATACTGCTGAAAAGGAAGATACTAGTCCTCAAGATATTTGTCTTCTCGCATCCATATTGAAGCTAATGAGTTCTGCTATGTTACAAGCCATAAGGGTTCTAACACAAGGCGGAGATTCTGGGTCTTTGAAAACATCGGAAAATGTTGCATTAAGTAAGGAGTATGATCTTTTGGTTGCTACTTTCAATGTTTTCAGCAGTTTGGTATACGCTTACCAGTTCAGAAGTTCTTACATGACATGATGGAAATTCAGCCAACAAGGCATAAGAAGTTAAAATGGATGTTCTTTCATTTCTCAGGCTTGTTGTCTCTAAGTTATTCTAGTGGGCTTGATTTTCTGGTTAAGAACTGCATATTTACATTGATAATACTGCTGAAATTATTTGTTTATGAAGCGGGTGATCTCCATGCATTTGGATCCTTATTAGACTCAAGGGTAAAATCTTCATCATGGAAATCGGTGTTAAAGTCGGAAAATCTGAACCTTCACTTAATACTAGTGAGGTAAGGTTTTCTTTTTCTTCTTTGTCAAGCTCATTACATCTTGCCTTACGAAATAATTGAGAATGATGATTCAGGTTCTCGTGATCGGAAATCTAGCCACGCTGTTGCACTAAAATTCCAGAAAATTCAGACACTGTACTTGGGGTAGGTGACATTTTTGTGTCAATCTTATTATGCTGATGATGCCAAGCGCCTAATTGATCCAATTTGTTCTGTCTACGGTGTACATTTTAGTTAACTTTTCTTCTTCTTTAAGTCTTTGCTAGTCCTTTTGAATAAGACTTGTTTAAATCTGGCTTTGTGAAGTATTCGTCTCCGACACATATTTAGATACGGATACGGGGATATGACCTTTTAAGGACCTTTCAAATATATTAAAAAACTTGGAAAAAATTAGATCATAGCCTTATTCGACAAATACCTGTATTAGATATTTAACAGAATAGTCCGAGTAACATATAGAGTCCACTGTTGTCTATATTTTAGGGAGGGGGATCTCATTCTCCTTTTTCTTCATTGTTGCAGAACTAGATCTCAGACGAGTTCTAAAAATAGAGCTCAAGAGCAGGAACCAGGAAGTTCAGAGAAAAATCATGTTGAATCGGCTCTCAGCATAGAAGAGACTACTGGTGAAACTTGCAATGGTGAGATTTTTCTCAGATGCGTTTTACAAGGTTCCCAAGACTCATCTGCTGTTGCGGATTTAGCCGACTTCATCGAGTGCAAGCAAGGAAAAGATTATTCTGAATGGCTGAAGGATCGAGAAAAATTTAGACGATGGAAATCTGAGAAATTGGAAAATTTAAGGTGGAAGAAAAGGAGAAGAGCTTTTCAGAAGAAAGCATAGTTATATCTGCTTGGCTGAAAGGATCAATGCCATATCTGGATGAATTTGAATGCCAGTAAATATTCTAACTGCTATTTGTAATATGTTTATCTTTGTCTTTGTAGTATATTATTTTTTATTTTTTTAGTAGTTTTCGATTTTTTTGTCATTATTTTCGTTTATCTTTTTTTGAGTTGAATTTGATATCGGTCACGACTGATTAAGATGACGTTTTTTGTTATCATGTTGACCTTCTCTATTTTAGACATTTAAATTAATTTTGATTTAAATTTTACGTTCGTGAATAGTTTTCTCACATCGTCACGACCGACACAAATTGATTTGGATACAGAAGTCGTTGGGTGGAGGACCCTCCATCGTCTCTCTCAATTCTCGCTTTCTTAATCGCATCAAACATATTAAATGATGGACAATGGAGTTTGGGCCGTACCATTCGACCAGCCCAATCATCGGTTTAATCACCAACTATTATTCTCTTCTTACTGTAATGGTTAATACATTTTTTCTAAATAAAAAATTGGAGTTTTCCATTTCAATTAAAAAATTAACTAAATTGCAGTAATTCTTACCACGCAATTTTGTAATTAAATAAAAATTAATTTTTAATTGATATAACAATACTTTAAATTGTTATACATATCATTAATATTTAATTGACATTCTATCTATACAAAGGATATCGTCACTTAATGTTTTAAATGTTTTATATGATCGGCGTTTTAATAAATTAATTGTTGAGTTTAACAATATATTTAACTTGAAAATTACGTTGTACTTAACAAATTTTAATATTTTTAATTTATTCAAAATTAAAACACGTAATTTATATAAATAAAGCATAGAGGATTGAATATATATAAATTAGTCCTTTTTAAATGTAAATTGTTATTTTTACTTGTAAGTTTTAAATTTTTTAATTTAATTTTTAACATTTTACAAGGTAATATTTCTTTATAATTTTTTAACCAATCTACAATATAAATGCATTATGCAACGTTGTAGTTCGAACACAAATATTTTTTATAGTGTTATTCATTTTTAAAATTTAAAAATGCATTTCATAAAAAAATATTTTCTAAAAATTAAGGTAAATTTATCATATCACGATAATTAACGTGATGGTGTACTAACTTACTGAATGTTATCTAGTTAATTATTTGTGACAGGAAGGCATCTTTCATCAGACTTTTCATCATCATTTGTGATAGGAAGAAGTGCTTCTCAAAATTTACATACAAGGGATCCTAAAATAATTCAAATTAAAAACTAAACTTCAATTTCAATTAAAAATAAAAAAAATTTGAATTCATGAATTTTAAAAAATAAAGATAACATATGTTTAAAAGATATTAATTTGGGACGTTATGAGGTTGCTTTGACTTTTCTCACAAATAATCAACTTCCAAACTCAATTTTTATATGGTCTTAAATGTAAACATCCTAATTTTTTTTATAAAAAATAAAAGTTTAAGAAAAGGTAATTTCAATGGTGTTCAATCATACATGGCCCTAAACGACCCATGACGGTTCAATTTTTTAAATGTATACAATTTTCAAGAAAAACTATTTCGAATCTAAAAATGATTTTGACAATGTACGAAAATGATAGTTGTTTTTGTATATTATTATAGCATGTTTCTTGTTTTTTAAAGGTTAGATTTATCAATGCCTCTTCAACTAGTTTTTATTGGTTTATCTTATTGATATACTCCTACATTGAATCCTCAAGTTGATTCTCTTATATTGATAGATACTCGCAATCATCATAGATATTTCTTTGTATAAAGTCATTATCAATGTACTGACCTTAATTGTTCTACTCCTATGTTAGTTTTGACAATCTTCAATCTTCACCTATCGTGCTTGTATCATATTTGTTTGTATTTTTCCGAGTGATCTGATTAATTTTTCAACCGTTTCTTAGTATGATATTTTTTTATTAATTAGTGGTTAATTTGTGCTCTTTGACACACGTAGAGGGAAAATTTGATTATTATGATTAATCTATCTTATATATAATAAAAAATTGAGATTAATTTTATTATATTTCTTATTTATATATTTAATAAGATAAATGTTTTAATAACTAAAATGTTTTAATTGAACTTTTTAAAAGACAGTGTAGTTATTACATATTGAGCATCCTAGCAATATATATCCATATATATCACACCAGCTTCATAGTAGTTGTAAATGCATCCCTTCTTATTTTATTTAACTATTCATTCTTCCATATTTGTTTTCTCTTGCTACCTGCAAATAATGATCAAATATTTTAGGGTTAAAACACGACACACAATTATACGTATAATATACATACATAAAGGTACTATAAATATTTTGATGCATCAGTTTTATTATATAAAATCTACTTTTTACTTGTATCTCTTATTATGTGTCTGTGTTGTGCAGTTGTATCGTCCAAGAAATACGAAACCAGAAGGAAATTAGTACCCAATATGGAGAATCTTCTTGTCGGAATAAGCAGTTGGAGGCTCCATCACATTGGGGCTAAGAAATTGCGAGAAGCTAAAGCTTGAATGGCATTAAGCTCAGGTCCAGTCACCATGTTCGCCTGCTGAAGCCTCTCTACTTCTGCAATCTAAACTTTTTCGTGTAAAACAAAATCCAATAAAAAGAATGAGTATATTCGATTTCCATGTTAACTCAAATTTAATCCGAATATAAAAAAGATCATAACTGAAAATTTGAAATAATTTAAATTTAAAAATTCGAACCGAAATACATCAACCGGTTCACCCTACCCTTTTACAAGTATTTATGGTCTCATATGATCATATCCTAGCCAGTCCTTATTAATAGTAAAGTCATGCATGTAATGGGAGAAACTAATTGTTTATTTGTCTATTCAGCTGATCATATAATTAAGGAAGATATTAAATTTTATGTGTTTAATATTTACCTTGGTTCGGAGACAAACGCTTTCATTTTCCAGTTCAATTTCCTGTAAGATAATAAAAAAATTAATTAGTATATTAAATTAAGTTATAATAAATGACATAAATTGGAACTTAAGTTAGAACAATAATTCACCCTTTTTTTCAAATACTCTATTTCAGCTAGCAGCATAGTAAAGTCATGCATGTAATGGGAGAAACTAATTGTTTATGTGTCTCTTCAGCTGATCATATAATTAAGGAAGATATTAACTTTTATGTGTTTAATATTTTACCTTGGTTCGGAGACAAACGCTTTCATTTTCCAGTTCAATTTCCTGTAAGATAATAAATAAAAATTAATTAGTATATTAAATTAAGTTATAATAAATGACATAAATTGGAACTTAAGTTAGAACAATAATTCACCCTTTTTTTCAAATACTCTATTTCAGCTAGCAGCATAGTAAAGTCATGCATGTAATGGGAGAAACTAATTGTTCATCTTTCCTCTACCCATTCTTCAACTTCTACCTGCTAGCAAACAGTACCTTCTGGCTGTTTAGATTTACGTGCCTTTTGTATGGTTTTCATGTATGAATCGAACATTGAAGAAAGTGATGCAAAAAGTTTAGAAAAAAATGTTGGTTTTTAGATGGAGAAAAATGAGAGCAGAAGCAGATACATTGTTCGAGACGGAAATAGAAATGACAAAATGGCTGAAAAACATTAATAAATAGGACAAAAGGAAGGGTATGGAGGAGAAGTTAGCCATCCCCAGTCCCATACCCTAGCTTCAATTCCAAGAAACTTACAAGTTTATTTAAAAAAGCCTAGTGAAATGAACAAAGATTTTTGGGGTTTTTTATTTATTTCATAAAGGTAGTCGTACTGTTTTATGGGTGCATATTTACTCTAGAAAAAGATAGAGTCGAAGAGATTTTGCAAAGATCCGAAACAAATAGGGATGGAAACCATGAAATACGAAGAAACCCCATCACGCTTTCTTGTTGTTAAAGAGCCCAGAATCTTGTGTGATTATGCCTGGAAAAAAAACAAGGGAAAGAGATCTTCATGCAAAGAAATAGAAGGTTCCCTTGTCCTGACAACAGATCTAAGAAGATATATATAAAATATGAACTGTGGTGAGCTGAGGAGAAAAGAAAAGGAAAAGAAAAAGACATGATATTATAGTTAAAAAAAGCAAGTATAACATATTTAACAAGATCTAACTCAGAAGAATTGCTTGTTTTTGTTAAAAGAAGACGATGAAAGAAAGAAAGAAAGAGTTGAAACCTGAGGGGTATTTGGAAAGAGTTCCGGCAAATTCGGATTATAAAAGAAAAAGGGTGTTGTGGAGGGGGGGGGGGAGACTCAGGTCTGCGAGTTGGACAAAGACGTTGGAATTGTAATTTGCCAAAAGGTTTAGAGAAGACGATGATGAATTAGGTAAATGGAAAGAGCTTTGCTGGTGCAAATTCCCACCATTTTTGGCAATGGACTTGCCATTTTCCCAACCCTTTATTTAAAGTCCCTGGACTCACTAACGTGCACTTGACGAATCTTTTCCACTGTCCCCATTTAATGGGCGGGGTTGGACTCAGACTCACTTTGATTCTCCCCCCCCAAAAAAAAGGAATTAGGGTTTGCTTTGCTTTGGTGCCAAACAAACACGTATTCCTGAACTGCCCTACCCACACTACGTTATAACACCCCAAACTACGATAAATAGATCGTGTTTTATAATTTTGATTGTATTAATGGATGTATACATCTTCTATAGGTATTTATTAGTGTGTTCAATGTATTATTTTAAGATTATTACTCATATTTTTCATATATATATATAGTCAATATTATATTAGGGACATATTGATTTTGTTTTGGTAGTAATATGTACGTATATCCGCGAGGTTTTTCTCGAATATCATCTATTAAGAAATTAATTTTTATTCTAACATTTATTTCAAATTATCTTTCGGATAAATATTTTTTTGTGACGTCTAGACTAAAAGCGTGTTACATAAAACACCTTTGAAAATGTATCCTATAGAACGCATTTTCTGTCTACGTATCAATACAGAACATATTAGGCTAAAATAAAAGCAGGGGGGAAACCCCAAAAAATGTGAAGAAAAAATTATATGAATTTTGTCTAAAAAATAAACACGTGCAATATGTGTCAAAGACACATAATTGCAAAAGCATGAATCGAGCAATAACAACATCAACACGTGTATTAACATTATATGCAATCATTTAATAAATGTATGTTTACGATCTAGATTTAAATACTTATAAATTCTCATATCTAAATAATGTGAAATTTAAAATTTCCGATGAGTTTCTCAGTTCTCATCTTGTTTAGATTTGTGAGCTTTCATTTGTTGAAATATAACCTTTTAAACATGTTTTTATTGAATAATTCAACGTAAAGCTTATACACGGGCGTCGCCGCGACTACATGGCTTATACAAGTACATGCCTTTGACAAGCATAACATGCATTTATTCTTTTTAGAAAAAATTATATAGTTTTTATATTTTTAGCCCATCTTTTTCTTTTTATTTCATTTCAACTCAATTTTAGAAACTTTGATCGCCTACTACCACATGAACAGAAAGCGTGTCATATAAAAACTCCTTTAATTTATATTTATATGGAAAAAATATTACTCTAGGCCAAAAAAAAAAAGAAAATGCAATATAAACAATAATTTTCCAACATGTGATATGTATAAACAAATAATTTATATTATATAATTCTCCAAAGGATGTTTTAATTATATATACACTATCATATTTACAAAAATATAATTATATATGTATAAATTATTTATATTCTCATTTTCTCCACTCATATGTTATTCTCCTCTAGGAGAGGAGAATGGAGTTAATAGAGTTTGTGTTTGGAGTGCTCTACTGGATTTAAAACTCATGACTTAAAATATATATAAAAAAAATTTTAGTTTAATCAACTGATCAAATATATTTATTATAACCTCACACATTCTTAATTAGGGTGCAAAGATTTTAAGATTTATTTTGTCCGATTCTTGTGATATTTGCTTCTTGTAGAGATTTCGAGGTATATTTTGTTTGATTGAAAAAAAGAATGTACCCATATCAAGTGGTTTGTGTTTGGAGTCTATTCATCCATGTATTTTGTTTGGTGTAGCATTTCGTTTGAAGACTTTGGAATTTTCACTAGATTATTTTATGTAATGGTTAATATCTTAACTCTATATTCTAAAATATAAATTTTATTAAATACGACCCTAAAAACCTAAAATATGCTAACTTATGAAAAATAAATTTACTCGGCGTATATATCATATACATATAAACTTCTTAAAATGAATAAAATAAATAAGTTGGAGTAAACTTAAATTTAAGAGCAATATATATAGTGGTGGGAGATGCTTGCAGTTAATGGAGTTAAGCAACAAACCACTTAAATTCATATAATCCACAATCTGAGTTAGCACCTAACACTCCCTAGTCAAACTAATTTCCAAGTACTTGAGTTTGAGCCAAATACAATACACTTTTTGCCTCAAATTATAAAAAAGGAAATAAATATCGTGTTAAGTGAAAATTAAGGAAATAAAGATTGTACAAATTTGTCTGCTAAGTGGAAGTAGTTAAGTGGACCGAGAGACGGAGTGGGGAATCAAACTGGCCGTTAAATAGCCTTCTCTAAGCTATTTACAATCTTAGTCATTGAAGGCCTATCTTGGCCTTCCGCTCTCACACAATCGGCCGTTAAATAGCCCTCATATGTGACAACCTCGATCTCAAAAGGAGTCGGGTGGAGGGCATTTGGGTCGAGAACTTTAGATAAAATATTAATTTGATTTTTGAATTCAATCAAAATCTTTTATCACGATTAACACTCACCTTTGCCACTATCGATCACCGTCAATTGATAATAGTCGTCATCACCATAATACCATAAAATGTACGGTGCATTCTTATTTGACATTATATATATTAACCTAGTATTTGGTTCACCAAAAAAAAATCTGAAACCCAACAAATCTAGCTTAGAACCATTCGACTTCCTCTAAAATTAAACCATAATAATAAAGTTACTATTAATATTTTTTTGATTAATATGGGATAAAACAATGAAGTATTTAGTATAATGAACAATTCAAGTGACATCGGTAGTAAAAGAACTATTAATATTTAAAAAAAAATAAAGATACTAAAAATTTAAATTTGTATCATATATAATTTTTATTTATAATATTATTGTGTTATTTTTTGTTATGTTTGTAATACTTACTAAAAATCAAGTATCTTGGGAATGGTCTCAATTTCTCTTTTAATTGTTTCATTTTCATTTTCTTGATTTTATGAACTAACATGGTAGAATTTAACCTAAGCATGAAAAAATCAGAATGAAAATCCAAATTTCAAATTTCAATGACATTCTAATAAAGTAATGCTATGGAACCGAGCTTTTAACTTCCTCAATCCTTATAGTACAACACTTTATATGTTTCTATTAGATTTTGATTATCAGTAACATAAGTTTAAATATACATAATATATAACAAAAACCTTGAACTAATCATCCGAAGATATGGGAATGGCAGGTTTAGCATCAACAAGCATCTTGACTACTTCTCTCATGGAGGGGCGCAAATTCGGGAGTTTGGCGGTGCAAAGGATACCGATCTTCAAGACTTTAACCATGTCGTCTCGGACGGTGACAGTTTCTGTGACTATTTTATCGTCAAGAACCTTTTCATGGTGGTTGAAGTGAGTTAAAATCCAATGAACAATATCATTCCCTTCTCCGTACTCCTCTCCAATGGCCGCTCTTCCGCTCACTAATTCCAATAACACTACTCCGAAAGTATAGACATCGCTTTTCCGAGTGATTTTTAGAGTATATACAAGCTCTGCCATTGAAACCAAAGTTTGAATAGTAAGATATACAAATTCCGCCATTTTGATCATTGTCAGATTTGGTTTGTTCATTGGAATGGAGAATTATCATGATATAATCTATGTAAACTTTGAAACATGGCTAACTAAGCGTTGTGAAACTCACCAGGAGCAATATAACCATAGGTGGCTGCAAAACAGCTCCATTCAGAACCCCTGAGAGATCTTTCTGCAATCTTTGCGACCCTGAAATCGGCAATCTTTGGCTCGAAATCCTTGTCGAGTAAAATGTTGGATGATTTTATATCCCTGTG